TGGGTGTATTGACCATTCGTGACATGATCTCTCTCTTTTGCTAATTTTTATTGTTTATTTTATTTAGAAGAAACATTTTTAAAAAAAAAAGAAAAGAGAGATAAAATTCGTTAATTGTTACATTTATAATATATGAAATTCATCAATTATGAGAAGCACTATAGCAACAAGTAGCAAACAACAATGAATCGTCATTTTTTGAGGATGACTATAAAGATTAAGATCCAATTTTGTTCCATGAAAATACACAAGTTTTTCAAAAAAAAACGGCCGTCCTATTTATATGTTTTGGATTTACAAAATAGACTACTGTGTCTTGGCCCGAGTAATGTCATTTGCGACGAAGAAGATGCAATCCCAAACCCAACTTAAAATAAATGAATTTTTGTTCACGCGTAACATGGTGTGCGTGATTTGTAATACGAAAACCATAAGCTCGGATTGCGTTCTCAGTTGTAAACTTGTTTTAATATGGACAATAAAATAAGACGGATTGTTGTTAATATGTGATTAATATGGATATTAATATAAATCAACTTAAAATATATAAATAAAAATTTTCTTTTTTTATTTTTGTGACACAAGTGAAAAAAAACTTAAATATAAAATAACTTTAAACACAAATATAACAATCCCGATACATTACAACAAGCATTATAAATAATATTTCCAGAATAAAATTTTCCAGCAATTTCAAAATTGGAATTATAAAATAAAATGGTACAATTTGGAGATTTTAGAGATATTTGTGAGACGGTTGCTTTAACTGTTTGTCCACTAGTTGGAGCAGTGGAAGGTATAGAACCAACTTGTTATTCAAGAAATGTGGAAATTGCTAAAACACTTATTTTTCAACCAGGTGACTTATTATCATTGGAAAAGTTTTCTTTAATTAATAAAATTTAATAAATCTAAACTAATAAATTTTATATCTCCCTACTTATAAACTTAGCCACTATCATTATTCATATAATTGCATTGGTTATGACTTCTATTATGATATATCATATAAAATCAAAATATACAGCTGTTGGTAAGTAATTTCAAAGGATAAATTAACAATTAAATTATGATAATTAATTAATTAATTAATTAATTAATTATAGGCCGTAAGGAAATTGTAATGTTTTTCTATTTATATATGATGGTTACATTCTTGGAATTTTTATTAGTTTCAGGAATTATTGCAACAGCATCACCAACTTACCCTGTAAGTTAACAATATACTTGTGTTACCTGTTGAGATTATATTAATTATAAATTATTATTCTAATAAATATATGCACACACATATATTATTAATTAGTATTTTACTGCAGGACATGTAAGTCTTATAACTGCAACTTTTTGGTGTTTATTATTGAATGGATTTGTTGGGTTTCAATTTGCAGAAGATGGTACTCCATTATCACTTTGGGTAATTACTATTAATTATTACTATTAATGATTATTATTATTGTTAATTATTATTATTGTCATATTCATTCACTCATTCATAACCTCCCTCTCTCTTATGCTTCTTACACTCTGATCCACTCTCATCAACCACTCATATTTAGTCAATTCGTATTTCTTCATTGGCTGTATTTGGTGCAGTATATTTCATAAGCATTGCAACATTCAATGGCATAGCTGGATTCAGTCCATTGCGCCCAGTAGCATTATGGATCATTTTATATGTGTTTAATGGAGCAGCATTAGTGATATATGTAGTTTTACAAATTGTTTTGGTGTTGAATACACTTGATGATAGATGGCCACTTGGTGATATTTTATTTGGTATTGCATTCTATGTCATTGGACAAGTCATACTCTACATGTTCTCGGTGCGCATTTGTGACACAGCAAAACATTATATAGACGGATTGTTTTTTGGTACCATTTGCACTTTGTTGGCTGTTATGATGGTTTACAAATATTGGGACTCAATTACAAAAGAAGACTTGGAATTTTCTGTTGGAAGTAAACAAAATGTTTGGGAAGTTAAAGAGTTGCTTGCAGAAGATGAATTGGCTTATAATAATCAAGGTGGGGGTGGCTATGGATATCAACAATCTCAACAACAACAACAACAACAACAACAATTCGTTTAACCATAGATCTCATAATGCTATTATTAGATACATAAGTAGTACGCGTAACAATGATTCGTTTAACCATAGATCTCACAATGGTATTATTATATACAATAAGCAGTACGCACAACAACAATTCGTTTAACCATAAATCTCACAATGTCATTATTACATACAATAAGTAGTACGCGTAACAATGATTCGTTTAACCATAGATCTCATAATGTTATTATAATATACAATAAGAATTATCATTCATAGCAGTAGTATCATTAATTATTACCATCAGTTGATTGATGTTGATTTTTTTGATGGTCACATAACAATGATTCCAGAG